GGGGAGAGGAGAGAGATGGCACCGAATGACAAAGGCGAACGTTTTGGCCTTTCAACAACACCCTCAAAGGGTCTCTCTCTCTCTCTCTCTCTCTCTCTCTTTGATAAGACGAATCTCATCTTCACAGAAGCAATGCAACACACTTGATATGGGCGTCCTGACTCACACAAGTTCACACAGACTCACCCAGACTCAACTAGACTCACACAAACTGAAACAGACTCCAACAGGCTCACAGACTGAAACAGAGTGACACAGACTCACCCAGACTGCTACAGACTAGCACCGACTCACACGGACTCACCCAGACTCAGCCAGACTCACACTGACTCACACTGACTCACACTAACTCACACTGACTCAAACAGACTGACAGAGACTCACACTGACACACAGATTCACACAGACTCACACCGAATGACCCAGAATCACCCAGAATCACCCATACTCACCCAGATTCACACTGACTCACCCTGAATCACCCAGAATCACCCACACTCAGACAGACTCACCCAGACTCACACAGACTCTGACAGACTAACACAGACTCACACTGACCCACATGGACTCACGAATCTCACCTTCACAGAAGCAATGCAACACACTTGATATGGCCGTCCTGACTCACACAGGTTCACACTGACTCACCCAGACTCAACCAGACTCACACAGACTCAAACAGACTCCAACAAACTCACACAGACTGAAACAGAGTGATACAGACTCACCCAGACTGCTACAGACTAGCACCAACTCACACGGACTCACCCAGACTCACCCAGACTCACACTGACTCACACAGACTCACACTGACTCACACTGACTCACACAGACTCACACGGACTCACCCACACTCAAACATTGCCTTTTTCCCCGGCTAATTCACACTGACTCACACAGTTTCACACTGACTCACACTGACTCACACTGACTCACCCAGAATCACCCTGACTCACCCTGACTCACACTGACTCACACGAACTCACACGGACTCACAGGGACTCACACTGACTCACATTAACTCACCCTGAATCACCCAGAATCACCCGGACTCAGACAGACTCACCCAGACTCACACAGACTTAAACAGACTATGGCAGACTAACACAGACTCACACTGACCCACATGGACTCACGCAAACTCACCCTGACTTACACAGACTGACCCGGACTCACACAGAGCCAGACGGAATCACACAGACGCAACCAGACTGGTCACAGAGTCGCACAGACTACAGGGACTTGTACGGACTCACACCGACTCACCCAGACTCACACTGACCCACATGGACTGACACAGACTCACCCAGAGTCACACAGGCTCCCCCAGGCTCACCCAGACACACACACATACACGGACTCACACAGACTGACACAAACTGAAGCAGAGTCATCACAGACTCGAACGGACTGACACGGACTCACACATAGTGACGCAGACTCAAACACAATCAAGTCCTTTAGATGGGTACTGGACGCCGTTTACGAAATGATGGCGAGAGCGTCCATGTTCAAATGAACCGCACTTGCCAACCAGACATTTATTTTCACTTGTATCTACGTGTTTGTGCACATGTGCTCGTGACTCTTGATGCGTCAGGATCATTTTCACTTACTGTATGTGGAAGTGTTAACTTGCATGAAAACTCACCGATTTTTCTGTCGACTAACAAGTGTGACCATCCATACATCACCGATGTCAACACGGCCAATGAGACGTGCACAAGGGAACAAACATATGAAACGAAAACACAATGTTATTACCACACACCATTGGCTATTCCCTCCCCCCCCCCCCCCCCCCCCCCCCCTCTGAATATGAATTGCAGCAATGAAAGGAGAGACGACAGAGACATACAAGAGAAGCGGCATTACAAAGGTCTGCAAATTTTCGTCATAGTTTGTGGCACGCATGCAGTGGGACACGGTCACGTCAACCAAAGACGTGATCTGTGAGAAAATGAAGGTACACATATTATTGTCAATGACGACATTACAAAAATCCAGGATCTATCACCCGAACACATATTCTCAAACACACACACACACACACACACACACACACACACACACACACACACACACATACACACACACACACACACACACACACATGTGAAGACAACACAGATCCGTTTTCCTCCATATATATCATTTCTTTTTTTTTTTAGGCGGCGTACTTTTCACCGGTTTTCCTTTCCTCTTTGACGCCCCCCTCGCCTTCCGTTTCCCCTGCTGTTCGGCAGACTCGGGTGCTACTTCTTGTCTGTTTGTGTCATCAGCATTCGCCCTCCTCCTCTCTGTCGTTGTCTGATCACTTCTTTCTCGTCCACGACGCCTTTCGTAAAAACACACCAACGCGGTTTTTGCAATGCGTCAACAAGCCTCATGTCCTTCGTCAAGATTGTCACCCGATTCGAATGGATTGCAACCTCGTTCGTGCTCTCCATAAGATGCACAAGATAGGCTTCAACTGCCTCCAGAAGTGCTCGAATTGCAAGCATCTTGAACCACATCGGTTGTGCTGCAACATCTTCTTTCTGCACAACCTCGCGCACAAGCCTCACAAATGGTCTATAAGGGATGCAAAGCTCTGTGCTGCGTTGCAGTCGGCGCATCTCCACCATAGCAGCCTCTCCGGGTCGGCGATTGCGCCTCGGCGGCCCTTGCCTCCCATCAATTTTCCCGCCTGTCCCACCATGCATTGTTGCCCCCCCTTGCCCCCTCCCCCTTCCTCTCCCTCTTCC